TTGGTTGGTTGTTTGGTTGGTTGTTTGGTTGGTTGTTTGGTCGTTTGGTCGTTTGGTCGTTTGGTCGTTTGATTGTTTGGTTGTTTCGGTTGATTGGTTGATTATGTTGTGATCCCCACTTTATTTTCATTTCATTACATCAAATAAATTAACCGTTGAATGAAGTCTTGAGCAATTAGTTTTCAAACCGTTTGTTTTGCTTTCATTTTATTCAATTTAAATATTTATAGTAATTACATAATACTATTGTAAGCAGTGTTAAATTAAAAAAAAGCAAATAACATTTTTTTTGATTGAATTTAATTGCATTAATGTTAGTTTACAATATTTTAATACGCAAATTATATTGAATTAATCCTTCCATTTCAAGCATTCTTCCTCTTCTCATTTAGCTAAAATTCACTTCTAACTATTCCTATCAATCATCACTATCAAAAATCATCAATATTATTCCGATAGATTTTTGTGGGAATTCCCATCAAATACCACAATGAATTGTGAAATACGAAATAATTAATATAATGTGAAATCTCTTAAGCTGTTACAATTCGAATTACATCTGCTTCTCCTTCCTAGCAAAACAATTACTCGTCTTTTCTTGGTGTTAATTAAATTTTAGCTAATCTTATCTCTTAAATATTCTTTCAAATTAAATTATTCGTTAACTGGCATGTATTTTTTTTTATTTTTGGAACCATTTCGATGAATAAAATTAGTTTGCTATTCTATGTTATTTTAAATCTAATTGAGTTTGCAATTTGAAGTTTTGGCTTCAGATTTTATTTTGTTGATAACTTTGTCAAATAGAAAAAATTTTGATGACCACTACATACAAATTTTCAGTATTTCAGTTCTCCCATGCCTTTTTATCTCCCTTATCATTTTATCCATTCTTAATTAACAAAACTTAAGTGCTAGTTTTGGAAAACAATTGCCATTAATTGGTTTTTCAATTGACAGAAAATTTTTTGCCAGCACTATAAAATACAATTTTTGTTTTTAATATATGCTTTAGATTTTAGTATTAAAAATGCTGTGTGGAAAATTGGTATTTAAGTTTTATTAATTGAGAATATATGTAATAATGAGAGCGCCAGTTAACAAATAATTTAATTTGAAAAAATATTTACGAGATGCTAAGATTAATTTTATGTAGAAAATTGCTCTGAAATAATTATTCTAACGTTCAACTTCAGTCTATTTTTTTTATTGATCATTTAATTTCGAAAATTGAATATTTCATGAAATTAGTTCATATTTGTTGCACTTCAACCACCCTTTCCTCTTTACTATCTTTCATCAAAAAAGAGAATTTTACAATAACAAATCACTTAAAATTTAAAAGAAAAAAAAACTATAAATCTCATAAATTTAGCCGTTATTTTGTTATTCATAGCAATAAACATTATAAAACAGAAAGTTTTAATTGAAATTATTTAGGTTATTGCAATCAATATTTTCAAATTTTTTTTCTCCCAAAATTAATCATTTTTGAAAATTGCACTTTTTCCAATATAATAGCTTTGTAAACAATGCAAAAATACGTCGGTTGTTCGCAGCATGCATCTAAAAGTAAACAGTTTTGAATCACATTAAATCGTTTTTTTCCCTTTTTTTTTTTGTTTTTAATGGTTTTTGAAAAAAAAGGTTATTTGTTAAAACTTAGTTCTTTTTTTCTCTCTCTCTTTCTCTCTTCATTTTGAAATATTTCCAAATTGTATTGAAGTATATCGTTTTCTTGTACCTACAAAAATAACAAAATTAAAAATCGTACAGAGTAATTTTTAATTAATTTCTAAAGTTGGATTGATTATTTTTGTGCATAAAGAATTATATCATTAACGATTTTTTTTTCATGAGTATGAAATACTTCTAAAATGTGATTTTTCATAAGATATGCCTTTAGAAGAATTGAGCTACACCAATGAATAATTGCCTTTTAATTACTTATACTTTAATTGATTTTATTCGTTCGTTAAATTTGATGGGATAAAATTGAACTGTTGAATTAATGACAATAAGAAAAAGTGTACAAAAAAGAAATCTGTTCGATATTGATGATGGCAATAGTAAAAGATAGCACTGCTAATGATAATAGCTACCACTGGCAATGATAATATCGGTGATGGTGAGGAATAGAAAAAAATATCAACAATGGTACTGATAATCTTAACAGTAATAGTGATAACAAATAGTATAATGAGTTTGCAATAATTACTGTGCAATGATATGTAGACAAATTGTATATAAAAGTTACTAATACTCTCAGAATTATATTAGATATTGATTTACTTAAAAAATATTACGAATGTATATAATATAGAAATAGAATTAATCTTTTTTTGAAATTATTTTTAAAACAGTAATATAAAATTTCGAAAGAAAAAGTTTTTTCTTCTTTCACTTTTTCTGCTCATTTCTTCAGTTTTCATTCTCAGTATTCCCGAGAACAGAAAATTTTCTCACTGATGAGTTCATTTATCGACGGGCAAATCGTTGTATCGTTATGTCACACAATAAAATAAAGTGCATTTGCATTTTTCATTTCAATGTTCTTTCTGCGAAAGATTACATCCCACTGGGATATTTTTTTTTTAAGGACGAAATTATTCTATTTCCTTTTTTCTCAATTGTTTCAAACTTTTGAATGCTTCAAATAAATATTTTTAATTGGTTAATGGTATGATATGAAACGAATTGTTAGACATTCTCCACAAATGGTCTCCGTTTCTTCCTTTCCATTTCTCTTTTTTTTCACTTCCAAAATTAACTAATTGTTTTGTAAAAAAAGAGAGCAAAGTGGCCATTTTTCTATTGTGTGAATTAGCCATTGTTGCTAGAAAATTATGGCACTTACATCACGTTGACATAATTTACAACCATAATAATTAATTACTGACATTATGTATTACAGTGAACGACTGCATATAAATTCATGGGTCTGATGAAATTACTTACTAATTTAATCGAGTACATTCATTCTCAAATAAACCTTTATTTATTGCTTTAATAAATCTGCGCCTATTACTTTGATATGCTAATTTTAACTGTAATAAGCTTATATTCGTAGTTCTCTCAAACTTTTCGTTTCCTGTTCTTGCTAACTCGAACTTTTCTAATTTACTAATAATAGAAGAAAATTTAATAAATATTTGCACCACTAAATTTTCATTTAATTGTTCACTTTGCAAAAACGCGGAACTGATAGCGCAATTTATACTTACAATTTGGCAATTCTAATATCTTTCATTCAATGCTTCCATCCTTTATCGATATTTCTTTCTAACATTACTTTGATAAAATTTTTTATCTTTCTGAATGAATAAATTTATAACCATTAATGCTCCCACTTCGTTTGATTTAATAAATAATTCTAATGATTTCGATGAGTATTTCCATCAGTGGAATTATTTCAAAAAAATATTTAAAAAAACAAAAAAACAAATCGCTAATTCTCTCTTGCAGAATGAATATATCCTATAGAGATGTTTTTGACAAAATTCAATGAAACATCGAATATAGTGAAAAACAAATAAACTAATTATTTAGAAAAAAATAAATTACTTTTATTTAACTGACACAAATTAAACAAAAATTTGAAGCATCCAAAAAAAAAATATAAATGACGCATTTCATGAGAAATAATTCTTTTAATCTCAATTCAGCTTTGATCAGATAAAAAAAAATTCGGAAATAATGTGTACACACATATAAGAGAAGAATTATTTTCATCAAAATAAAATGTGTTTTCTCGAGGAAGGCTAACTGCAAAGCTATATTACTGCTTGTTTAATTATCATCTTATCAGTTTCGTGTGCTTATTATGACGATGATAGAATTACTTTTCTTCGATATTCCATATTTTGTCTAATATTTTAACTAATAATCAAGCAGATCGTCTAATTATTTTAAGGCAAAGAAAAATTTATAATTGTAACTTAAATAATAAACTGATTGAAATAGAAAATAAATGAAAATATCGGAAGATTGTATATTTGTAAAATAATTCAAAACATTTAATCGATTTTAGAAGATTAAAAATTATAAACAAAAGAATATTTTCGTTTAACATCTCTATAAATTTTTTTTTTTGACTGCAATTTGATGAGATAACAGTGAATGTTACGATAAAATAATTCTCCGATCAAACTAATTTGTGCCATTATCGATTTTGAGGTCAATTATATAATGATGAATCGATGAAAATGATAATTTCAGATGTAATTACGATAGAAAATGATATGATGAAGAAGACAAAGGAATCATTTTCGAATCTCATTGAAATCGATTACTCTTTTACCGTTCGTTTATTACTTCTTAAAACTAAACAATGACTAAGAGAAAATAAGCAAATTTACGGATAATTTCGCTTATACGTCAACATTCAAAAAATTAATTTACGTACGTGATACGAAGAATCTATGCCAACACTTCCAATTCCAATGAACTAAATATTTGTGTAATCAATCTTTTTTTTTTTGGAAATATTTATAATTCATTTTTAATTGCTAATTATTTTCCTTTTTTTTTCAGGTGATGCTAATTGGTGATAGTTGCTGTGGTAAAACTTGTTTGTTGATCCGATTTAAAGATGGCGCTTTTCTAAATAATAATTTCATTTCCACTGTTGGAATTGATTATCGGGTAAAAATACGTTTATTATTTTTATCCACTACGTACTATTTTAATTTCTAATAAATTGAAAGTTAAAATTACGAAAAATAAAATGCTCAATCAGCAAATTACAAACAATCTATCGTTATAACAATTAATTTTTTAACTATAAATTATATTTGCTTTTGTTTTTCAGAATAAATTGATCGAAGTAAACAATGCTAAAGTTAAGCTACAAGTGAGAATATTTTTCAAATAAATCCTTTCATAATCCTTTTCTTTTCGTCCCTTTTTTTTCTTTGATTCTTTAAAGGCAAATATTAATAGAAAAGAAAAAATATTAACAGTTAATGTTTTGCTTTGGAACTTTAATTGCTTGGAAATTTAAAAATTTTAAGGAAAAAGATTTATTAGTTATGCATGTACTGATTTTGTTAAATGAAACTTTCTTGAAAAAGCCAAAAAAATCTACAAAAAGTAATTTAAATGAAAAAGAAAATCGAAATTTATAATTTTTTTTTAAAAATTGCTATCAATTTTAATTTATTTATTGATCAGATTTGGGATACAGCTGGTCAAGAAAGATTTCTTGCAATCACAACAACATATTATCGTGATGCCGATGCTCTTCTCCTTGTTTATGATTTAACAAATCGGCAAAGTTTTGTTAACATTCGAGTAAGTCTATGAAATGCACATTTGCATACATTTACAATCAAATTCAGATTAGATTAATCTAAGTTCATTTAGTGTAACAATTTTTAGGATCAACATAAATTACTAATAATAATTTCAGGTGCAATTTGATTAAATTTTAGAATTTACGGAGAGCCAAAATTTAATGTTTAATTAATTTTATTTAAATTTGATTAAAAAATTTTTTAGAATTCATAAAGAGAATAATTTTTAGGATTGGCTTACACGGATCAAAGAAAATGCTAAGGAAACGGTGCTTGTAACACTTGTTGGCAATAAAATGGACTTAGAAAGTAGTCGAGAAGTAAAATATGAAGAAGGAAGACGACTTGCTGAGGTTTATTTCATATTTCAAATCTTTTGAATTGTGAAAAGAATGATAAGAAATCCGATCAATCAATCAATCAATCAATCAATCAATCAATCAATCAATCAATCAATCAATCAATGGTTCTTGGCTATATATGCAAAACTGTTTGATAAACATCATGAATCCTTCAAATTTTAAAATAATTTCAATCTTTTCAGGCCTACAATATTTCATTTATAGAAACAAGCGCTAAAAGTGGTCAAAATGTGAAAGAGACATTTCAAGAAATTGCAAAGTTAATTTTCATCATTATAATATATTAATATTAATTGATAATTAGGCGATTTTAAATACAAAAAATATTCATACTCTCTTATCAAGTCCGGTAATTTTTTTTTTTTTGCAGACAACTTGTCAAAATGCACGATGGCGAAAATGTAAAAAATAAATCAACAATTGAACTTATTGGTACATTATCAAAGAGCTCTTCATGTTGCATAAATTTTTGATTATTCGATTGGTTTGATTCCTATAGTAATACAATAATGATAATAATAATGATAATAATAATAATAATGAGAATAAATTACATATGAGTATATGTGTTAAGTAACAATAAATTTCTATGGGTCTTTTTCTTTTCTCATTTTTTCCCATTTTGAATTGATTATATCTATATTTTAGCCGAATTAAATGGTCATTTATTGACCATTACTGATTTATTAACTTAATTTGATATAAAATTTCAATAACAAATCAAAAGCTTTTGTATACAATGAATTTCAGTAACATCTTTCCATATATTTATATCGCATAAATTGAATCAATGGTATCTTAAAATTAATATCAAAAAAAAAAAAATTAAGTAGTAACTTTTGCCAAACATTTTGCCATATTACTGATGGTTCGTTCTAGCACTATCAATCAATTAATTGTAACTTCATAAATCAAATGATAAACAATTTAGCATCATTAATTTATTCAATTTTTTGAGTTCTTACATTTGAAATAACACGACACAGAAAGCCATTAAATTCTAATCGAAGATTATCATCGTCACGATCGATATTCAGTGATACAACTCGAAGACCGCTCATTTGCGGTACGAGAGAAAATTTGGTGATTGTCTCATCATTGGTCATTGGATCGTTTGATGACTCATTGATTGTATGTAATAGGACAAGAACGAGTGATGGGTTAATGTTTCCACGTTGTACAAATTCTTCATACCTTAATATAAGTAGCAAAATAAACAGATATGATAATTTGATCTTACTGATTTAAAATAAAGACAAAGATATTTCATAATTTCGTGGCATTTTTTGAATTTACTAAAAGCCATTTGCGCTATTAAAAATGTGAGATCATAATTTGAAGTTGACAGAAAGATTATTGGCCGTTCCGTTTTCATTCGACTGGAACAACAGACTTCATCTGTCCTTGGGATGATTATCCGGAACCAAGTATATTGCTATATTGCTATTTCGGATTTAAGAGCTATTAGCTAATGATTTATTCCGCTTAAAATAAACAATGAAATATTTGAAATGTATCAATCCTAAGAAGATGGAGGATTAATCTGACATTTCAATCTGACATTTCACTTATTAGTTATTTACACAATTAATGTTTCATATACAAGCAATCAATTATCTGCAAAAGTTACTGGACTTAATGGCTCACGTCTGAGTGAAATGATCATTTTTTGTCTTTATTTTTCTTAATTTAAATGACTAAAATATGGCAATTTGATACCACGGCAAAAGTTCCGATCCACCATCTTGATCAGGCCTACAAACCAATATAACACCATCAGTATTATATTGAATTGCAGGCCAACATTTCACATACTGTTTATCACCACTGCAATCCCAAAGTTCAACCTCAGCTTCCACTCGTTCTCCATCAAGTTCCAGCTCATTACTCTCGAATTCAACAATTCTCACACCTTAATATTGTTTTAATTTCATTGATGCAAAAAAGATTGCTCTTAGAATTGCAAAAATTAATATCATTTGCAATTGTCAGAAGCAAATAATATATTCAAGATATTTATTCCTTAAATTTCGCTAATGACTTAAATAGTTAATGAAACCAAAAAAGTGAAAAATTCTTACCTCGAGTTGATCGATGTATGTTAAGGCTTATATCACTTGAATCCGCCAGGTAATTTGATATCATCGTTTTACCACTCTAATTTTTGATGCAATTAGAATTTTGTTTTTTTTTTTCTTATAAATCAAGTCTTTATTATGTATTATAGACTTTCAAAGTTTAAAAACTAGAAAAAATTAAGAATTGTATGAAAAAAATCAAAATGAATTTTCATCCACAAATTTAATTTGTTCTAACAAAAAAAATCGAAATAATTATATCAGTTTGCTGCAACAAAAAATCTGATAAATAAAATAATTTCAAAGAAATTTTTAATATATTTGCATTTTATCGATCAAGCAAACTATCAGTTCCTTAAAACTTCTTGGTACATACTCGATACAAACATTTAGAAAGATAAAAAGTATCAAACAAAAAACTTTTTAGCAAATTTTTTGATATTGAATTTTAGCATAAAATGGGTCCAACGTACGCTTTCACTAATTACTTAATGCATTTGGAAATTAATCGAAAAGTTGGTGGTTTAAATTTGATTAAAAACAATATGATCTTACCTTAGGTGGTCCAAGAACGAGAATTTTGATTTTCAGAGGAGCGGCAGTTGTCATTCTTTTCATTTGGCAACTATGGAAACTTATCAATCACCATGACTACGACACCTCACCTCGCTATGATGGAATATTGCAATCAACACTTTAGCAAAATTGTTGATTTGAAAAAAAAAAAATCGAAATTGGTTTACCGAACAGAATGCTTACTATCAAAAAAAAAAAAATTTCATTAAAATCATTTTATCAAAATTAGAAATTATTTTGTTTATTTTTCGTAAAAAAATTCAATCAACATTAATTGTAATGAAAATTTTTAAAAATCTAATTAGAATATTTTTAAAGTGATATATTTTCTTTTCAAAACTAAATATCACTCAATTCATTCCAAAAAAGCGTCGGTGTTTGAAGATAAATTTAAAAAATTTCAAGTAATTAATTAATGATGATATGAAAGATTTCACTGTTATTTCTGCTCTGTTTGTAATGGCAAGAAAAAAAAAATTATTTCTTATTAGTTTCTAAAGAAGAAAATACTGTATTTGAATATATTATAAATTATTTTTGAATCATTCAATTAAGAAATTCAACAAATTCGAAATTTCAATGCTTGTATAAATTGTTCTTCTGAGATGCATTTATACTCTCTGAAATTAATTTCTTAGATACTGCAAAAATGATTTATTACATACAAAACATATTGAGCATTAATTCAATCATTATCATTAAAAAACTTTTTTCTGTCGTTGATTTCTACATAATCGAATTGTAACACTTTTCTTAACATTGGTTTCTTAAATTTTTAGTGGCGCGAAGGATTTCCAAAAATTTTATGGATGAGATTAATTATTCAGCAAATTCTATGAATAACTAATTATAAAACTTATTATTCTATTTCCACATTCTGATTCCTCATTTTAACATTAAATGCTTTCATTCACTCAGCTACTTTCAAAGTTTGAATGTTTTTATCAGAAATGGGTAACCAATTGATTAACTAATCAATGAATTGATAATTAGTCAATTAGACAACTTGATGTTTCAAGTTATAAAATAAAAAACTAATTCAAAAGGACCGACTGCATGACTGAATTATTGAAAGTATAATTAGAATATGCCGACAAAAAAAAGAAATTCAAAATCTTTCGCACATATTTCAAAATTAATCTCTTAAAAATAAAAAGTCGGTGTAATTTCAAAACATTGTACAAAATTTTCAGTTCTTCGAGCGGTTACTTAAGCGTTCAGGATCACTCAGAATAAGTTCGTCCTTATATCTCTTCGTTTATCTTATCTTTACAGTTTTATTTAAATTCAAAAATAAATTATAATTTCGGTCAGTGGTAGCTCAAATATTATTAACTTCCTTTAAATTTTTTTTTAATTTTGAATTCAGAATTTTTAATTTTGATTTCAGAATTAAACGTAAACATGTGAAAATTTTTCAGAAGCTTTGAATTTTTCAAGAAATCACTTCTTGAATCCATCTAGAAATACATACATTCCATTCTGATTTGCTAGAAAATTAATTTCCCAAATTTAAAATTTTATATAGGTTTCGAAAGATATATTGCACAATAAACCAATGGCTTCTGCTACACCATCTTCACCTTCAACTCCAACTCCCGCAGCTGTGGTTCCAGCTGCGGGAAATGTACCACCGGCTGCAACACCGCAAGATGGGATGAAACCATCGGTTGTTGTCATATCAGCACCAATCCCACCCAATAAACCAAATGAGCCAGCATTTCAACTGAAAATTGAGCCAGATACAAGACTGGAATTCAGAAGTGACAAATTAACTGAGGAACCGTGTCAGATTGAAGTTAAATTGACAAATCCAACAAAGGACAGACAAACATTTAAGGTTTTCGTTTTTCTGGCTAATGCTTCTTATCAAAGTAAAATTTACGTACTAAATTAATATCATTTGATTTTATAGTCTTCAAAACAATCAAAATAAAAGTGAAATGATTCATTTCACTTTTATTGAAAATATTCAAAATTTCCTTTTTCAATGTCCACTATTTATCTTCAAATTGAAAACATTCAAAATATTTCCTCTTTGATTGTTTATTATTTACCACTTTAATCTATCTTAATGAAACTTCAAATAATGAAGTAATCAATCCTTGAATTGCTTTTTTTTTTAAATTATCGAAAAGCATTGATATCTGAGATTATGAAATTTATGCGATGTCGAAACAGTTGGAAATTTTTTCAAAAAAAAAAAAATTATTCGAAATATAATTTATTTGATATATTGGAAATTAAAGAGCAAATCAATAAATTCCGGAATTTTTTAGGTGAAATGCACATCGAATGAAATTTTTCGGGTACGCCCATCGCTTGGATTTTGCAATGCCGAAACTTCGACATCAATTAAAATTATATTTTCAAGTAAAACGATACCTGCTAGTGGAAGACATTATTTTGCATTTTATCATATGAAAAATGATGAGGTTTGTGAGTTATTTGAAATTCTGATTAATCATTCCAGAAATTGTTATTTTGATTTTACTTTCTCCTAAAATCCCCAGCATTTCGTTTTTCTGAAATCTAGTGTTTAATATAATGTTGTTAATATGCATAAAGCCGAAATTCACTTATTTTTAATTCATATTAAAAATGCTTTGATTTCAAATTTCAAATAATTGACAGCAACAGACTAATTAATGGAATATTGGAGACATAAAAAAGAAAAAGAAAAAAATTGAAATAATGAAGATTAATGTAATTAGTCATACTTATATTGACTTGCAAAATCGATTGCAATAAATTAAATTAACAAAATCGAGTAACATTTTAATGTTAATGTTTAAAATGAAATTGTACTTTCTAAATGTCCAATTCGCTTTTAACTTATCACTTACAATAACAGGGTAATGATTAACTAGTCGAAATTACAGTGTTATTTACACTTACAATTATCCAAAGATCCATTTTCCATTTATCAGTTTATATCAGTGTTGTCGTCTCTCAACTCTTAGTTATCATCCCCTTCATCGTACTATCAATTCAAATAAATTTGGTGCTACGTAATTAATACTACTCATTGAAGAGTTGACGAAACTGTTACATAGATAAAAATGATAACATATTCTGAAAAATTTTTAATAAGTAATGCTAAAAATATTGCTGATAAATGATAAGAGAATTGAATAATTTTGCATGTCATTCTTTGTTTGGACAACATTTCTGTAATTTATTACATTCATACATTTTTCTTACACCGTCAAAATTTCTACCGGAAATAAAAATGAATTCATGATTTATTTCCGGATTTGTAACATTCCAATTCCATTTGTCATATTTTGATCGTTAATGAGAAGTTACGTTTTTAGCATTTCTGTTTCACTGAAAATATTTTAATGCATTTTCTGCGTAACATATTAGAAATTACATTTCAACGGAATATTGTTGATAAAATTGTTGCAATACAAAAGATGCCCTCCTAAATTGATCCATTTAACTAGGAGTTTTTGAGTTCAAATATTATATATTACGCTTATAAAACAATTCTAATTAAATGAGTCATTCATCAATATTTGAGAAAGTAAATGCTAGAATTTGTGATCTATTGATAGAAAATATTTGCAAATGAATTGCATCTAACAAATAGGGTCAAAGAGTAGATAGTTGATCATAATAGATTGATTGTATTCTGAAATCAGCCAATGATTGACCCCATCATTTAGAAAAAATGTTTATTTTTTCATAATTTCTGATCATAGATATTATGCACCTGTAATGACGTGAATTTTACGTTTTAATATATAATGCTATTGATTGTTATACAATACTATTAGTATATAATGCTGTTTTTAGTATGGATAAAGACGTGAAATGTGACACGTGAAAATTAAATGTGAATACTTGAATTTAAGAATAACATTGAGGTATTACTTAATTAATAGGTACATTTAAGCATCGGTGCACTGTTTCATTTTCAGACGGAAAAGACTGCTCGGCAAGTTTGGACACCGCAATCAAAGTTTGAAGGTGTACGTCGTATTATGGTTTACTTCCTGAAAGGTGACGGAACTCCAGCTCCACCTACTGATAATGCAGCACTTCCTGCCGGTGGTGGTGCACAAGCGGCTGCTACACCGGCGGCAAATGCATCTACTCCAGTTGCAGCTCCGGATACAAAACAACCAGCTGCGGATGCGAAAGAAGCAGCTGCGGATGCAAAAGAATCGCCTGCTGCAGCGAAGTGAAATTTAATTAGAGAAAAATAAAAGCATGCATTAAAAAGCAATCTGAATGATGCACAATTTTCATCTCATATTGAATTGAAATGAAAATAAAAAAGAAAAATCTAACAGAGAGATTTTAAACTTCAAAAAGTTTCCTATGTTCTTTGCTAATCACATGAAAATTATCCATCATTTATATCACATTAATGCAAATAAACAATAATTAGCAAAAAATGTGCAATGAAAATTAATAATGTTGAAAGGAAATTGAAACAGAAATGAATTGAAAATGCTAATTGATTTTATTGATTTGGTGAAGGAAGATAAGTTGTTAATTACTTTTAATTGATCTAATAAAGTTAGTTTAAAATTAGAAGACTAGTTTAAAAGTATATGATAGTTAATGGAAATATTATTATTGGAGAATTGTTGAGAAGCCGGAACAGCTGTGTGCATTACTTTCTCTTTCCTCTCTCTATCCCTCTACACGCACGTGTATTTCGCTCTTCTCCATTATTTCTTTAAACTTTTATAAACTTTGCACCGTTCATTTTCCAAGCCAAGCATCGATGTATTTCATCTTGGATAACTTTTTAAGCATTTTTTTTTTCAAGTATTAACTCTTTAAATATACATTTCATTTCACTTCATTTCATTTCATTCATGTTTACGCTATTTTTTAATGACAAATGATGTAAAATTAAAGTGTAAAAATTTCATTTTCATATTTGTAAAGAGTGTAATTTATCAAATTTCATCGTATTTCTTTTCGTCTCCAATTGATAACAAAAGAGTTAATGGAATGTTGTAATTAAAATTAACATTAGCTGAATAGCTATTCCATCAAGAATTAGAAATTTAGCTTTGTATTTCATTTATCTTAAAAATGAAAATTTTGATGAAATTTATGATTGTTTGACAGTAAAAAGAAAATTTTATAATTCTTTATTTGATTAATTTACAATTTAACTTGTAAATTTATTTTGCTCAAAATATTTCATCTTGTTACACGATCATGTGTTAATTTCAGATTTTCGTATTCTTTTAATTTTTTTGAAAAAATTAATTCCAATTCAGAGAAATAAGAGTTGCAATGAAGACGCGCGGAAAAAATTTCGACGTTGTAAGTCTTGTTGTATTACAATTTGCATGTAAATTGTATAAGAAAATTGAAAATTAAATTTAGATATGCTGCTAAAAGAAATAATTTTGTAGGTTCATCACGGAATGGTACTACTCAGTGATGGTAAAGGTCGGGGAAGACCTGTACGACTGGAACTCACAAAAGGTCAGCAGTGAAATTATTGTAATGAAATTATTGCTACAAGAAAACAAAAAAAAAATTTGTAAAAAAAAAAATTGCAATAAGCCAAACTCAAAACTATTTGCACAAATTTTCAAACTTCTTCAAATGCTTTAATTTGATCAAATTAATTAAGTTAATTTTGATCAAATTAATTAAAATTTTAGATGAACAGAATTGTAGATTTTAAACAGAATTACGATTTCAGATGTTCTTATCATTCAAATAACAGCCAAAAGTAGTTTTTTCGATGAGATGAAAGATTCGATGATTGAATTGGATAATAGCATACGATGTGTTAAATTACGCAAGAAACATGATAGTGGTTTAGGATTATCAATTAAAGTAAGTTAGTTAAAATAAAAATGGAAACTTTGCAAATTCTCTATCGAAAAGATAAAATAAATCTATTTTTTTTCAGGGTGGTAATGATGATAATCAACAAGTTCCAGTTGTTATTTCAAAGATTTTTCCAAATACACCTGGTAAGCACAATAAAAATAATTATTCTTATCATCCTTTGAACAATTTAAATATTTGATATTGAAGAAAAATTTACAATTAATTCTGTTGCAGTAATTTATTCATCGTTATTATTTTGCAACTTTTAACATGTAAATGATTAATTTGATATATGTAACTTTAGACAAATAAATACTTTCAAAATAATAATAAACCGTTTCATTACGATGTGCAGCAGAAATGCTTTATCATTTGCAAACTGTTAGTAAAAATATTTTATCATATACAGCGGAAGAATGTGGCCAATTATACATTGGTGATGTGATCATTGAAATAAATGGACAATCAACAGATGGTAAAAGTCATGATGAAATTGTTCAACTTTTAAAGGATACTGACGATGAAGTAACACTTAGTGTCAGACATTATATACAAATTACTCCGTATTTAAAGTTAGACTTTTACTTTAAAGAGATTCATTGTTTTATTAAATACATATTAAATTATTTGCCTAATTTAATCGATCAAACTTCAAAATATACATTTATATGATTGAATTTGGAGAAGAGAAAAGCCAAGTTACAGAATTCGTGTATAAAATATGGCAAATAAAAAAACTAAAATAATAATAATTTAGTGAAATTTTATAAAAAATTGTAAAAATATAAAGATTTCTTATGACATGATAATTTTTTTCTTTTTTGACACTTTATAATCACATCAAAATTTCTATTAGTATTTCTGATGAGAAATAGCAGAATTTTTTTTTTGTGATTAAATGAAAAACTTAGGAAACTGATTGCTAAAATTATTTTTGATATTTTAATCACATTTTGAAATGTTAAAAGTTTCCAAAAATTTGTTCAATGTATGGAATGAATTTTTTCAGGCCAGCAGATTCGCTTAGATCACATACCGGAAGTGCATTTGATCGTCTGTATGAACCGAATACCTGGAAGGTTCAATAATTCAATTGACTGTTTTAAAAAAGAAATTTTTCTTTTCTAAAATTATTAGTGAAAATTTGGTGGAAAAAATAAAAAGTAGCTGAATTATTCTATTATAGACTTAAACATAATATTTAAACTAAAAGTATTAAAAGAGAAAGGAATCAAATTTAGAAAGTACAATCATCGATTCATCCCGGTGATATAATCGGTACACGAAGTACTGCCAGTCGAGGTACAACTGATGATGCATCAGATGAATGGAAAACCATGGCAAAAATTCCATTACCGATGGCATTCATTACTCGTTACTTATGGGGTACTGATAAATTAAGGTCACTACTAAAATATAACTTATGCTATATTAATTAAGAATTAATTTCAATTTATCAATTTCATAGCTATAAGCTATAAACATTGATCAATTTTTTCACTATTAATTTAGGTTAATTAGAGGATATTCAATTGTTCTAATAAAGTTAGGAAATGAAATCCTTCAATTGCAGCAATTAAAAAATTTACTCTTTTCCTCTAAAATAGATAGTAATGGTAATCTGCTGAACAGTATATTTCCCTATCAGTATCAAATTGAATTTTTTAATTTTGGAATATTTTTATTCCAATCGGACATTATTCTTTTTTACTATTATTTGTAGAAAAAGCCATTTGTAGAGAAATAGCATGACTGTTCTAATTTGACATTATCATTTTTCGAATTTCGAAAAAATTCTATTTTCAAATTTAGTGATTTTTATAATTTGAAAAAAAAAAGAAATAAACACTTAAACTTTCAGAAATAATGCATTCGAAGTTCGTGCAGTGGATGGTTCATCGACAGGTATTGTGCATTGCGAAGATAAAAATACTGTGGAACAATGGATTAAGCATATTCAGAGTCGTATCACGTCGCTTAATTATAAATCCATCAAATTATCAAATAAATATTTGCATAAAAATGAGCAGGTTGGCACGAAGGGAAATAACATATCATGTAAAATAAATAATTAGTTTAGTTTTATGGCCTGATAAAAGGTAACAAAATTGAATGATACCGCAATTCGGTAATTTTGCTATAAATATTTTTCAAAATTTCGCAAAATTATTAAAGCTGTCAAATTCTCGAAGGTTAAAGTAATTGGAAAGAATTTTGCAAGTCCGTTTTATAAATTTTTTTTCTTTACATGAATTAAATTTAAAATGAAAAATTGAGGAAAAGCAAATATTCAGATTACATATATCGGTTGGGTAAGTGAACGATTACCGGAAGAACATTTCAAAGATCCACGTCAACGTTGGGAACCTCGATTTATCATCCTGAAGGGTGGCGAACTTTGTATTTTCGAATCACCACCAGTATGTTAAAATTTAAAAAAAAATTTAATTAAATTCTAATCTTTGATCGTTTTATAAAAATGTTAGTTCGTTAAATAATTTTGTCATAAAATATTATTAAATTCACTTTAAAAAAATTAAATGATTTATAGCTGAATTCGGATGATTTAAATAAATGCGTATCGTTGTACAAAATTTACGATACAGCATTTAAAGTGATGGATCGAGAAAAGCCAGCATTGGACAAACGTGATTATTGTTTTTGGATTGAAACATCAATGAATGGCATGAAACATTATATGTCCGTTGAGAATCATCATCAATTTAATCAATTTGATATTGCTTATCATCGTTGTTTACATAATACTGTTAATAGTTTTCAGGTATTTTTATTTTATTTTTTCTAAATTTATTTCCAATCATATCATATCGTATCATCTGTAACTATAATCATAACTTCTTTACTTATCTTTATTCATTTTTTGCTTTCATAAAATTTTTTATCATTATCATCCTGCTCATTTATTCATTTACAATTCTTACTTTTTACCACTTTTCATGCAAATTTAATTTTTGTGATTTTTGTTTATTTTTTAGTGTTCTCTTTTTTTTCCCAACCCACTATTTATTGTTTTTTAATTATTAGACACGAACATTTGCATGCAGTTATCAAGGACGTCCTAGTGGCTTGGTGATTGATATCAAGCAGGGTATAAGCTTATATGATATACCCACAAAGGTATGTTATCATTATCAGAAGGTTAACATTATAAGTCATTAATAAACCATGCATGCATGTTTTTTTTCTTTTTTTCTTTCTTAATAACTTATATCATATCATTATCATATATAATTTATCATTATATCATATATCATTGTATAATATCATACCATATATCATTTATGTAAATTTTTAGAGTTACTCGTGGCAGTATCGTTTCTGTGATTTGGAATCATCATCTGATGATGGAAAAATACGATTACGACTGATTTTTCGCGATGCACGAAGTTCATCGAGTAATAATTTAGAAATTAAGGTAAGGAATATGTGAAAGTTTCATGATTCTATAGCTTAAATGGTATAAAATTATTAATCATTCAATATAACTGATAATAAAAGTTTGATATCTGATAAGGCATTAACATGATATACATAGCATGACATTTTTATATCATATAACACTGCAATGATAAAATTTTTGAAGAAAAAAAATTATAGATAAAGGGTGAGGTTTAAATTTTATATAATTTTATCAGATCAAAGCTTTCTTTCACTTTTTTTTTTCGATTGTCTGATGAAAATGATAAGAAAGATGTGAAATGCAAATGTAAACGATTGTAAAGTAATGCAAAATGTCATCTTTTATTCCGATAATCTTTTTTCTTTCAGGATATTGATACCGACGAACTTTCATCCATTGTATATACAATACATGCATTTTATGTAACCAAAATTATTGGAACCGATCCGGATTACCTGAAAACTATTCCACTTTCGTGATTTGACGGACATTTGACTGATATATGTAGTCTTTTGTAGGATCAGAACAAAAAATGATTGAAAATTTCAATGTTTATTTAATAATGAGATATTCATGATTGTATATATTTCCATTACCATTTAATTAATACAAAGAATTGAAAAAAATGTTAGCTGACCTGAATCACAAATATTTTGAGAGCTATTTCGAAAAAAGTAAGAAGAAAAAATGGTACAAAGAACGATTGTTAATCGTTCAATGTTAATAAATATATTTTAAATTAATTTATATGATTGCATCAACACAATCAAACCATTTTGAAAATTAAATTGAAAAAATAAAATGAGACAATAAAAGAAAAGATTAAAAATCGTCTAAAAAATGAATTTTGTAATTTTAAAAAATATTTTGATTTTACTAAAATTACTTTATTAGATTAACTAATCGGAGACAAATGACATATTCGCATCTGCTTTGCAGAAATTTGAGTGAAAATTGTTGGAAAAACGGAAAAATAATTAGGAAGATGAAGTGCAATAACTATTTAATGGGATAATATTGAATGAATCGTTGTGCAAAATAGAACTAATTTTAAATCATTTGAAATTCATTAAATATCGAAATTTCTCTTTTTTGAATATACGAATTTTTTAGAAATAAAATGGAATAGTGGGAGATTTTTACGTTAATATTTCATTCACTTGCCTGCCTAACCATCGTTTTCTTTAATAATTTAAATTGATAAATTAGGTTTAATCATAAAAGGAAAAAAAGCATCTGAATCAAATTTTATTCTATCCTCAAATTGCTTTGTAATCTGTAAAGCAATCATTGGAATTTTTTTTCTCACAGATAAACAAGTGAAAAATAGAGATGATAACAATTATCAGTAATTGATTCATAAAAAAAACTCCAGAGAGAAAGAGAAAGTGGAAGAGAAGGAGATAATTGCGAACATAAAATTCTGCATGTAAATATTCTCACTTCAATAATCATCTCAGAAATAGCTAATTTCACTTTCAAATTTCCCGGAGAATTATAGATCAAAATGATTTTAACACTTTTCATTTGAAGTGAATGGACAGCTGCTTTCTAATTGGATATTTTAAAGTTCTCGAAGAACGTTTAAAATGATAGCTTCTATCGAAATGTTAATTCTCCAACAATAACTTCCTTTACAAATATGAAAAATTCCACTCATTTTGAAATAAAACTTCAATTATCATTTTTCAAGCTTTCAAGCATTTAGTCTTTTTATTCATTAGTGTACTAAAATTTAAATAAAATTAGATATGCCACACAAATAGTGAAGCCAGAGATATCTGTGAAATACTACTGAAAAATGTTTTCATTTAACATTCTAATTGATATAATCGAGTATGCTCATTGTTCTTGTAACATTTATCCAGATTACCTGTAATTCTCTAAATTTTACAGATAAGCAAACTTTCCATTTATTTAAAAAACAGCTAATTTTCAGTCTATTTCTACAAGTTTGTTAAAATAATGAACAACTATTCCCATATTTTTTCATCACACTTCTCCTCTTATAGTTTATTGGCAACTCTTATAGTTTTAATTCAATTTTATGCAACAAATAATACACTTTGAAGCTGAAATCATTTATCTGATTAATATAATAATAACATGCAATGAAATAAGATTTTTCCACATTCTCTATTTATTTTCGCCTGCACAGTAAATAATGAAAGCAAATACTTCATTCATCATTAAGAGACCTTATCAGTAATTGGACTTTAACAAATGAATAGATTAGATCATAAAATCTAAGCATCTTATCTTCCTTTTTTTTATTAATTTTTTTAAAATTAATATAAACTAATACCGAATCGCTGATAATTAAAAACTCATATCTAAATTGACGCCGTTTTAGCTTAACCATTAATCGAAAGTCAAATATAATCATTTCTGTTGCCATTATTGTTATAAATGGAAACTATTGATGTCAATAACTGGTAAAATTTTTTTAAATTTTAAAAACAAATAGTAAAAAATAACAAAGAAAAGAAATAGAAAGTAATTCAAACCCGTAAAAAATAGTAAAAAGTTTGAAACATGAAAAAAGAATTGATTTTCATCGGATACAGATAACTTCAAAACAAATTGTTACCATCTAAATCACAGTAGCAATTTTTCATATTTTAATCCAAACGTAATTAACCCGAAATGCTATAATTTTATTCCACTCGGATAATTCGCTGCATACTATTTTTTGGTAAAAAAAAAGTTAACCGACATTTTAACCGATAAAGTTAACCGATAAAAAAGTTAACCGACTTTTGGCAAAATGAAGCATAAAAATTTTTCTTCATAATAATCAAGTGATTTAAAACTATGTAACAAACACTACAAATCATTATTTTAATAAACCGGTTCTAGTTGGAATTTCAAGAAGTATTTTCTGCTTTGGTTTTACCATTTATGAAAGACAGTTCCATAATACCAAATTGTTGGATGAATCCAAAATAACTCCAAGCCTCTTGAAATCTTTCGGACATCAAACGTTGACTGGCATGCGGATCAACTTGCTGTAGAATTTGGCATGCAAGTATTGTATTCATTTCACGAAGCAGTGGAGCAACAGCACATGTTGGAAATTGCTTTTGATATGCATGCAGTACCTATAAGATAGAACTCTCAAAACATAGCTTTCAAACTTATAGGTTCATGAACTCGAAATCCCCTACCATGGAATACTTCAAAACGAAATCGGTTAAATTAAAACTCATCAGATTGCAGGCCACTTTTAGATTGAGTAAAGAATTGTTCAGACCAAAAAACCTTGTTTATATGTAAAGTATTTAACAGAGTTACTTCAAATATTTATTAAGTCTGAGTTATAGATTTCTTCCTTGACAAATAGAACTAATAAAAACTGCGAAACGAATTCAATTTTATCTGCTCTCACCACTACTATACAAACAGTTCTCTGATCTGTGAAAAACAAGACCTTATGAACCTGATCCAAAGCATTTTCGCGTGGCAGAACATTCAGCACCACAACTCCTGAAATTGTCAGCATGAGAAAGATGATGATAAATTTTGCAAAACGGTTTTTTCACTCAGTTAGACATAATTTCATAAAAATCTTTCAAATGCGATTACTGCACTAACCAATTTAGACAAGAGAAAAATAAAATACCTGTCGGTTCCAGAATTTTCTTCAAATTTGTTATAAAATTTGCATGGATAAACAATTCCAAAGGACAAGTTACGTCGCCGGCATCATCACATACATCAATAAGCACAACGTCAAAGCGGATTTCTGAAATCAATGATAAAAATTGACATAAGTTGAGGAATGTTATATTAATATGCAAATGATTTAAAACAATATTTGCATTAAATATTAAATACTTGAAGCACCGAATTCAATATTGATATAGTTCCACGTTCAAATTCAAAAAATTTCACTGAACAAGCATTATTACTTTTGGCCACTGCTTTTTCAACAAATTTTACACCATCCATCATCACAATCTGGATTTTCTCATTCTTTTTTTCCAATCCAAACCATCGCCGCGTTAGATCAATAATAATTTGGTCCAGTTCGACAACTGTTATTGCCATCTACAATGAAACAAGAAATCAACGCTTCTCAAAACTAATGATCTCTCCTTCTTATTTTTCATAGAGCGGCTAACAGTTTCTCAAGTGTTGCAGTGCTCACTGTTTATACCGAATTTCAAAGGACAATTCAAAATCACAACGAAAAATAAAAAAAAAAACATTTCATGCTGACTTTCTGTAATTTTCATCTTTTTATCTCACCTAAGTTTTTTTTTAAACTATTAAGATTCAGTAAATCTTAAGCGTTCCGCTGCTCATTATGTTCCTGCGGGAATCAGCATTTAATAAATATTAAAGAACCACAATAGGTCGACGGGTGTCTGAAAATGCATCTATAAAATGTCAGAAAAAGCGACCTTCGGAAAATGATTTATCAAAAACATATTCATGCAGCCACCACCAAGACCAACTATCAAAACATTCGCTGCCAGGTTAGCGTAATTAGAGAGTGCCAATGCAGCAACACCAAATGGTACAGTTAGCATAACTGCTACATACTGCCTATTGATATGCGTATGATTCACTTTCCAAAATCGTGAATCCGATTCTTTAGACTTGAGACCTGAATGCTTTATCCACAATTAGCACAAACGGATTGCTTTCAGTAATAAAGCAATCAATTTAAAAACATTAATGAATATAAATGGAAATGTTTTATTTAACTTCAATTTAAATTAATGTAGTCTCTGTACATCTAAATTTCACGAAAGTAACTGCAATTGCAATAACACAATTTATTATACGTTGTAAATTACAAAATTTCAGATTGCAGATCAATATCTAACAACAATTTTAAGTCTTCAAAGAAATTTCAAACGAACCTATAGGTGGGATGAGGCGAACAACAGTTCCATGTTTCTTTGGAACATGTCGCATTATCAAAAAGCGATTAACATCACCCCTGAAATAATTCATCCATTTAGTTTAACTGAATTAGCTCAAATCAACGTTAGTATTAAGCACACAGTTCAATCTATATGATTCCATTATCATTCATCAAACCCTTAATTTAGATCGAGTTTTTTCTTAATCCTGAAAAAAATTCATTTAAGTTCTTAAAGTCTTTTCAGAAAAAGTTAGGTTGAGGATGATTTCTACTTTACTTTCATGCATTCTATAGATTTTTATAAGCAGCCCAATTGTCAAGCCACTAGATTCCTTTTGTTGATTGATGTACAAGAAATACAAAGAAAATAAACTTACGTAAACATATCAACAGCATCATAAACAGTGTAGCAATCCTTTTTCACATCGGAACAAGGCCTTGATTCAATCAAATAACGAACCTGCTGACCTTGAATGGCGGCAATTCCATAACTTTGATCTTCCACAAATACCGTCCAATCCAATGACAAATAATACAGAAGCTTAAAATTCATAAAATGGAAATTTCATACCTCTTAATTTATCTCATCGTTAAATCATAGTTAGCTCTCTTAACTGCTTTTATCTACCAGGCTTGAAAAGAAAATTTTCTACTATATTATGAAATATCAGATCACATATTAATATATAAAAAATAAATGCATTTTGTCACTTGTATTATTCTTTGTTACATTCTAACACACAGTTTGTTGTGCAAATTGTTTTTTGTACGCGTTATTATAAAATAATTTCAACAATGTTATAAACAATCTAAAATTCGAGATTAGAAAATACAAAATAGATCGATACTGTGCAACTGCTATGCGAATTCATAACAGTTCACAATTTTTTCTTTTGTTTATTTATAGTAACAACACATGCACATTGCAAAGAAATGCAATTTAAATCAAACATTTAGCTGAATCATAATATCACTAAAAAATCAAAACAGCAATACAGAGAATTGAATTTCTCTTCCGACAGCTGACTGTATTATCTCTCTTCGAAGAGGAAACTTTTGAATTAATCACAAGAAAAGTAACAATGAAGTTTATCATTTACTATTTTGAAAGATTTGCTAAATTTCACATATAAATTAATACAAACAATCATTGCTGATCAGTCATTAAGAACGATTTTTTTTTCCTTTTTTTAAATAAAAAGATAATATACCGCTGTGACAAAAGCGCCAGTTATGATGATTATCTTGAATGTGGGAAGCATATGACGGGAGATACCTATACGTACAGATAATCGCCATAACAAATTCATTGTTGAACACGATGATGCTTTATCATTATTCTTGATCCTTTCATCCTTCAAATTTTCCATCGTTGTAGGAAGCATTGCCTTAAAAAATTGCACTTCTCAAATTTCATCGCTTTCAAATTTTCTTTTTTCAATTTACGAATTAATGACGTAAAAATTAATCGTACAAAAGAAAGAAGACGAATTTCATGACAAGCGATACAATTTAATGAATTTAAAATCTTTTTAAGATTTTACATTGATTAAATTACAGCATACAGTTGCATTCAAACCTAAAATGAAACTGCAAATCATCAAATAATTCCAATCATTCCGCGTCATTCATAACATAGCAATAGCTCAGAGATCACTGTTAGCAGAAATATGACGAGAGAGAGAGAGAATAAGAAGTAGTCAGACGATAGAGATTAAAAGCAAAGAAATGTTACAATGTAAAAGAGGGAGGGTAGCAGGGATTTAGCAAAATTTTTAAACAGTATATTAATGTAATTTGAAAAATTGCGAATATTTGATATGTAAAAAACAAGTGATAGACTGGTAAGATTGGTGAGGTATTGTTTATTGAAGAGATTTTGAAAAGAGCTGAAATAGCATGGAATAGGTAAGAATGCGAAGATTGAGAGTGTGTAGTAGCTAAAATTAGAACGAGATAGAGTTCAAGAGGAGTTCATCTTTTTTTTTTATTGATAAAATTGATGAGCGAGAGTGCAGAATAGGTGAGAGGTCAATTTCTGGTAAACTTTCTTTCGTTTAATCAATCAGTTATCTTCAATTTCATATGCTAAGATTTTTTTTTTCCTTTAATAAAAATACAACTGTAAAAGGAAATAGAAATTTAAATAAAATTTCACTGTAATTTGTAGTAAAAAGTTAATTGAATGCTGAATGCTTATAATAATTATTGATAATAGCTAATACTCAATGTTTTTCAGTTTAAAAGATTCTCGAATTTTTGAAAAGTTTAATTTTTCTTTCTATTGCTCGAAGTTATTCATTGACTTTTTTTTTCGCTTGAAAGATGAAGAGAGGAAAAAGAAAGGGAAAGTTTAGTTGGTGTGCTTTGAAGGGAACAGCCGGCTTAAAATATTTAAAGCATAGGAGAAGAGGAATGGAAATGCACTTTTTAATGAAGTTTGAATGCATACATACAGGAAAACGAAAAACACTGCACGAATTTGAATATGTAGATAATAAAGCAAGCGGTAGTGATAAAAGCTCACGAGTTACGCCTATCATTTTTTATCATTCTCTCGAAAATATTTCCTTTATTTAAAATTTTAGCAATTTCGGATAAGAATAGTGAAATTATCATATTATTGTATGACGTGAGATTAATTGCTTCCGTTTTCCATTGAATATTTTGCTAAATAAAAGTTAAGTAAAGAATGATCGACTTTTCCATTTCAACTTATCATCGAAGAGATTGAGTGATAATGCATTTAAAATTTGGACGAGTCATCTGTTAAAAGTTGCTATCAGTCATTTCGATTTGTTTAAAACTTAAATAGTTTGAACTAATCTATTTAAGTGCAAGGTAATATTTTCAAACCTTTAACAGATTTCATTTTCTCTTAATTTATTTAGAGATTTTTTGACTAATTTGAAGAAAATTTTACGATACCGTTTTTTTTTTTTGCATTCGAAAAGTTTCAGATCATTCGAAATTTAATCTTACCATAATAACAACTTTCATGCACCTTTTTCAAAAATTTTTTTTTTTCAGCAATCGATTTGGAATTTAATGTTTGACAGATATAATGAAATAGGCAAACGAATTATTGTAATGTTGTTGATGGTGGTATGAACACACAAGTAAGACTGGCTTTCAACAATTTCTGCAACCGACCACGGGCAGTTTTTCGGGATACCTGTCTCTCCCTTCCCTCTCCCCCTTCCCCGTCTTCTCTTCTTGTACCTTCTATTAGCGTGAATACATCGTTTATTGTCTCTTATTTTTCTGTATAAATTTAGCATTTTTTTTTTTTGCACTCGATTAATTTATATTCTTTTTGAATGGTTATTGTAGTTAATGAAGTAATGCGTGTGTGTGCGTGTGTGTGCGTGCGTGTGTGTGTGTGTGTGTGTGTGTGTGTGTGTGTGTGTGTGTGTGTGTGTGTGTTCATTGGTGTGATGTAAAAATGGGCGCAGAAGGAAGAAAGGAAGCAAATATTGGATGGTTTGAAATTGCTGCACTTAATGCTTTAAACGAGAGTCTACAGAGATTACTTACATTATTACCAGCTTCCTGTAAACGATTATGTTCTAAATTTATGCTATTTTT